AGGAACACGCTGAACCCCGTCTGGCCGGCCTTCGCCATCCCGGTGCGCGCCCTCTGCAACGGCGACTACGACCGGTGAGTGCCGCGGTCCTCCAGGCGGCGCCGCTCTGCGCCCTCTTCCCCCCGTCTCTATGGTACCCGCCCGCCCCGGGCTCTCCATCTGCTCCGCGGTTCCCCCCCGACGCCCGCCCGTTTGAGCCCCCGGTGCCGCTTGGTGGCTCGGCGTCGCGCTGCCTCCTCAGCCCCGTGTCGGACGTTGCTGTGGCAACAGTGGATAAAAATATCCCACCGAAACCGGCCGAGAAGGAGGAGGAGGAGGAAGGAGAAAAGCCCCCACGGAGGGATCGACACCAAGTCGATGTGTGCAGGGCTGTGCTTTTGGGTGCCGGCCGTGACACCGCCCCCTTCCTTACAGGGCCATCAAGGTGGAGGTGTATGACTGGGATCGGGATGGCAGGTGAGCCGGGGGGCAGAGGGGGGCCGTTTGCTTCTCCCTGCCCGAGGTGGCGGTGACACCCCCTGCCCACAGCCACGACTTCATCGGTGAGTTCACCACCAGCTACCGGGAGCTGGCGCGGGGGCAGAGCCAGTTCAATGTCTACGAGGTGAGGAGGGGACGTGGAGATGGGTGCTGCGCCCCCACTGCAGCCACAGGCGCTGCCATCCCCACTCTGCCCCCCTTGGGTCCTACAGACCCCAGGGACTCCATGCTGCACCCCCAGGAATCACCCACGGGTGTGACAGCCCCCCCCTGCACCTCTGGGTGCTCCATCTTGCAGCGCCCCACATCCTCTCCCTTCCCACAGGTGGTGAACCCCCGGAAGAAGATGAAGAAGAAGAAGTACCTGAACTCGGGGACGGTGAGGGCTGGGTGGGCACAGGGCACGGTGCGTGGCTGCCGTCCTGCTCACCCTGCTGTCCCCACAGGTGACCCTGCTGTCCTTCGCTGTGGAGTCTGACCACACGTTCCTGGACTACATCCGGGGCGGGTGAGCTGTGATGCTCGCATCCATGCAGGGGCGCAGCTGGTGATGGTGGCCCTGGGGGGGCTCCAAGAGTGGGACCCGTGGGCTGGGGCGCATCGCCCGCGTGGAACCAGGAGGTGTGGGGGGAATGGAGGTCCTCCTCCATCTCCCCATCCTCAGAAGGGTTTTTCTCCCTCCCAGGACCCAAATCAATTTCACGGTGGCCATCGACTTCACTGCATCCAACGGTGAGCGCTGGCAGCGGGCAGCTCCCCCCTTGGGGCCGGGCACAGGGAGGAAGGTGGGCCACGACCCCACAGACTGACCCCCCCAAAACCCCGACTGCAGGCAACCCATCGCAGTCCACCTCCCTGCACTACCTGAGCCCCTACCAGCTCAACGCCTACACCATGGCGCTGAGGGCGGTGGGTGAGATCATCCAGGACTACGACAGCGACAAGATGTTCCCTGCGCTCGGTTTCGGTGCCAAGATCCCACCCGACGGGCGCGTGTCCCACGAGTTCCCATTGGTGAGACCCCCCCTTCCCCCCCCGGCTCATAGTGTCCCTCGTCACGCGGGTGCCTTCATCTCTGTCACCCATCTCAGAACGGCGACGCATCCAACCCGTCGTGCAGCGGCATTGAGGGCATCCTGGAGGCGTATCACCGCAGCCTGCGCAGCGTTCAGCTCTACGGCCCCACCAACTTCGCCCCCGTGGTCAACCACGTGGCCCGGTAATTGGGGGAGGGTCCCAAGGAGGGTCGTCTGGCCCCCAGCCTTTGCTCAGTGCTGGTCCTGCAGCTCGGCGGCGGCTGTGCCGGATGGGTCGCAGTACTTTGTGCTGCTCATCATCACCGACGGGGTCATCTCAGACATGGCGCAGACCAAGGAGGCCATTGTCAACGTGAGTGCTGCCACCAGGGGCTGTCCTGATCCACTCGCCCAGCGGGGGCATGGGGTGCCCCAAAATATTTTGTGTAGGATGCAAATGGAGGCATGGGGTGTCCGAAAACGTTGGGGTGTAAGACTTAGCGGGGGGGCAGGGGGTGCCTCGGGTATTGGGGTGCTGCAAATATTGGGGTGCAAGAGCCAAGTAAGGACGTGTGGTGCCCCAGATATTGAGCTGTAGGACCCCTGCCTGGGTTGGTTTGCCGGGGTGCCCCAAAACACGGAGGTGCAGCGTCCAGCTGGGAGCACGGGGCGAGAGCAGAGGTGGCAGCGCTGGGTTGGGGGTCAGGGGGCGAGGGAAGGAGGGGGGGCTGCTGTCCCCATGTTTGGGTGATGGGCTGGGATGGGGGGGTGCGTGCTGTGCCACAGCAGGGTGGGGGGGGTGCAGCTCAGCCCCCAAGGGCGGCACATCCCAGCCCCACAGCAGGATGCACCCACGCACCGCGTCACGGCCCTGAGCACGATGCGCACAGCAGAGCCCACGCAGCGCAGCCCCCACACAGCACACGGCACTGGGAGGGGGGGGGCTGCCACCGGGGGGGGGGACGACGGACCCCAAGGCACCCCACAGATCCATGGGTGCCCAGGGCCGGTGCCACCCCAGATATTTTCACACCATTCCAACCCCCCCCTGCAGGCAGCCAAGCTCCCCATGTCCATCATCATCGTGGGGGTCGGCCAGGCTGAGTTTGACGGTGAGGCTGTGCTCCCCCCCCCCCCCGAGGGGTCCCTGCTGTTGAAGGGGGGCTGATAGCGCTCAGCCCCCCACCTCTCCCCACAGCCATGGTGGAGTTGGATGGGGACGACATCCGCATCTCCTCCCGTGGGAAGGTGGCAGAGCGTGACATTGTGCAGGTGTGGGACCCCCCAGCGCTGTGCGTCGGTACAGGGCGCCCACCTCCCCCCTGCAGCCCCCTCCCAAAAGCACCGGCATTGGGTGCCACTGCTGGTCCTGGTGTGGGGATGGGGGGATGAGTGGGGTGGGGGGGCACTGGGATACGGGGTGCAGTGGGGCTGGGGGTGGTACAGCAGGGTGGGGGGTGCTGGGAGCGGGGGAGACACAGAGGGATGTGGGGGAAGGAGGGGAGCATGGCGTGGAGATGCAGGGGGACGTGGAGTAATGCGGGACAGGGGGGAGGGCATTGAGATGTGGGGACACAGTGGGGGACAGGAGATGCTCCAAACTCCCCATCCTGTGCCTCCCCTCCCCCCCAGTTTGTCCCATTCCGTGACTACACGGACCGGGGGGGCAGCCAGGTGCTGAGCATGGCGCGCCTGGCCAAGGACGTGCTGGCTGAGATCCCCGAGCAGTTCATCTCCTACATGAAGGCTCACGGCATCAAACCACAGCCTGCGCCCCCCAGCCCTGACCCCCCCGGGCCCCCACCTCCCACCCAGCCCTGACCCCACGTCCGTCTCCCCCCCCATCCCCCCTCCCAGACCCCCCCCCAGGGGACGCCTGGGGACACGCAGCTACCGACCTCTGACCTGAGGTCATGGGTAAATCTCAGCCACTCACTGCCAGCCCCCCCCCCCC